AATTGTCCAGCACATGTGATGACACCTTTTTCGCATATGAAAATCAGCCAATTAGCAAATATGATGAAGTTGATCATTGTCTTAAATGTATGTTAACTGAATGTGATTTGAATGACTATCCTCATACAAGAGTGGGAGACGATGTTCCTGTTCGCATTTGTTCAAAGAAAGTTGATCTTACTGCTGTGAAACTTCATTTTGGTGAAATTCCCGATCTGAGATACAGCATATCAATCGTCCCGACAAAGGAATATGAGGATAACAACAGAGAAACATCGAGCGATACTGCAACAGTAGAAAACATCGTCGATGAATGTTCGGAAAAGCTTAAAAAGCAGTTACAGTGTCCTATATGTATGGAGTACATGATTAGCAACATCTATAACTGCAATAATGGTCATGTATTGTGCAATAACTGCAGAACCCAAGTGAATGTTTGTCCTACTTGTAGATCATATCTTGGAGAATCGAGAAATTTTCCATTGGAGAATTTGGCTGATGAAGTAGTTTTTGCTTGTATATTTTCCGCCTGTAGAAATCAGTATTCGCAGGAATCACTTACTAGATGGCACAGAAAAACATACATCATCATCAATAATGCTGAAGTTATTCTGGTGGTGAATCAGTTTCAAAATTTTACTTTTCACGTTCCTGCTCTAGTTTTTAATTACGAATGAGAGTCTTCACGTTTATTTCGAACCATTCATTATCTGTTTGTTGTTATAGCTATGAAAAAAAACTAAATACACATTTTGTTCGATTTATTCTTTATTTTCTTGAAGTAGTAAAGGTACCAAACATGAGAAGCCCGTCCAAAAATATGAGAAGAAGTATCTATTGATTTACCCTCTTAAATGCACTATTTTCCAGATACAGGGTGTTGAAAGTCATAATTGGTGAAGACTTTTAATGGGTAGTGAGTTTTTTTTCCCTAAATTCTACGCCCCTGAAAGAAGTTCTGTTTTGTTTCGTCCATTTGAACTTCCTATGTTTTCTACACGAAAAGGTACTCTTGATCATGAGCTCCAAAAGTGACCGTTTTCAAGAAAAATCAACTTTTATGATGAAAATCATGGTAAATTTTTTGAAATGATTACTTTTTACTAATGAAACAAAATTTATTTAAACGTTAGAACAAGTAACAAAACCAAACGTTAACTTTGATGCAAAATAAAATAACAAATGAAGTCATTGACATTCAGAAAGAAAGTCAGAGAAAGTCTCTTGGCTACATATACAGTATGGTGGAGATGTATGGAATAAATTCATTATCGTCAACGCATATGAATTTAAAACAAAATCCTGAGACAGGTCGATTTTTCTTTTCAACTCCGGACATATGTTGATAGCAACTTTTCTTCCTAAAATGACCTAACGAATCACCACCTGCAGTAAGGAACCGTAGTTAGGAAACACCCTGTATATAACTCTTCTCATGAGCATCAAAGCAGTGTTTTTTCTTTTTTATCTTTTAATCCGTTTTCAACTTAACGAACAGTTCAGATTATAATTGTTTTCTTACTCTGGGGCTGAACTAGAACTTTTCCAAATTGTTTTCAGCTCCATTTTGCATCATTGTATTCAAAGTTGTAGTGAAAATGTTTTTTTTTGTTTAATGCGAATGAATATCATCATTATTATTATCACTATTACTATAACAAATTATACACAGTTGAATTAATAATTGTTGAAATTGTCCGCGGTTAATTTCAATGCACGCAGCAATAATTCTTAAAAAATTTGACCATGATTTTCGGGTTAAAAGCTGATTTTTCTCGAAAACGGTGAACTTTAAAGCTTACGACCAAGAGTATCTTTTTTGTGCCGAAAATATTGTCGGTTCAAATGGGTAGCTCAAAACTGTAGTGTATCCAGTGATAAAGAAGTTGGGGAGAAAAAACACTCACTAGCCCTTCAAAATCTCCACCAATTATGGCTTGAAATAACGAATTCTGCAGAAAACGTTGCTTATTATGAGTAGGAAATGCTATCAAAAGCTGTTTTCTGTTGAACGGTTCCAGAGATATTCGCAAAAAACGTTTTTTTTTCTACTACTGCTATATGAAAAGTGGCGCATTTCTCATAGCTTACTTAGTTTCAAAACCATGTAATGCCCATACTGTGAGAAATATTTTTTCTCACGGCATTTTGCCAACACCACTCACATTTCCATGTAGAATCAATCAATTCAGCTTTGAATAGTTGTCACAACTGTCAGAAGAAGTTTTTTAATTTCTTAGGGTAGTTCTCATTAGTGCTTTTGATAGAAATCGCATTTTCTATCAAATATTGTTCCAATAATTCATCATAAATAATATGATGTATATTCCAATAAGATGTGACGATTTTGATAAATACACCGCCAGAGACAGAGATAATGGAAAAAGCTGCGAAATTTGGATTTGTTTCCGGATATTTCAAGAAAAATGTATGAATTGGCATATTGGTACGAAAAATGTATGGAATCTAACAAAATACAGAAATAAAATCTTTTTCGGGAAGTGTACCTACTATTTGGAAATACTTTCCCAATCAGCCAAAGTACGTCTTAAAGGCGTCTTTAAGACGTACATGTCGGGACATAAGTACGTCTTAAAGACGTACATATTACGCCCAAGAGACGTCTTTAAGACGTCTTTAAAACGTACATTTTCCACTAATATGTACATCTTTAAGACGTCTTTTTTAGGTATTTTTGGTCCATGACCTCAAATTGATCTTTCAAATTACGGAAAAATCACATAGTTTCAGTTGATTTTCACCTGTGCACTGAAGTTAGCAACAAGTGCAGACAAGCAAAAAAAAAGGGAAATGAACGACTTCATCAAACGGTAGACACAAGCGGTCACCCATTCAAGTACTAACCGCGCTCTTTGTTGCTTGACTTCGATGATTATACCATATTCACTTCTTCTGTTACTCTGTTTGTTCTATATATCACATAACAAGCTTTTACTCAGTTTAACATGTCCTTGTCGTGTCTGTTTGAAATCAAAACGTGCAAGTTAAATTTGACTCACTTTAAATCGTCCGATTGATTTGAAATTTGGCAAGTAAATATTATTCCGGTGACAATTCGTTGTGATATTATTATTGAATGGAAAAAACAGAATTGCGGATCCAATATGGCGGACGATGTGGCATATGGTTTTCTGATTATGGTCTGATCTGATTCAAAATTGGCATCTGAAGGATTTTGGGATCAGAGATTATAATTTCTTTTGTCGAAAATGAAAAATCCAAGATGTCGGCTTCAAATAAATGGCGGACGAGTTTTGTGATTATAGTCCGATTTTATTCAAAATTGATTACTATGGGACTTTTGGGGTCGGAGAATATGATTTTTTTGTAAAAATTCGAAAATCTAACACGAAGGCTCCAAAATGTCGGACGAAAAAATTCAAAAACATTACTTTTGTTGAAAATAAGAAAAAACTGAACAATTGAAAATAAAAAACGTGAAGAGATGACATTTTGTTTTTCTTCAGAAAATAACTTACATTATTGTTCTATAAGTCGAATTGACGTACTGGAATGTACGTCTTTAAGACGTCTTTTATACGGCATGGGAGGAACGACGTGGATACGACCTAAAATGTACGTCTTAAAGACGTAAATTCGTGTACGTCTTTAAGATGTACATGGATTTACCTTTATACGTCCCTGGACGTAAAGACGTAAAATGTACGTCTTTAAGATGTCTGGTGCTGATTGGGTTGAGGAACTAGAAAAGGCGTCTACTCTTTGGTCACAATATTCAATGTGGCATAGTGCACTACTCACTATCAAAATCATTGATCATCAATAAGGAAAGGTAAATAAATTTAATATTATGTTTTTCAATTTATTATCGTGACATTGCCATCATAAATCGTGAACGTTTGATTCAAATAGTTATTTGATTTCAAGTATTACATTTGAGTTCGAGGTTGTCTTATCTTCCGACCCCAAGTAAAGAGAGACAAAAAAGCGACAGTTAAAATCTGTTTGCCAATTGTTTGGTGTTGACTTTTTTCTGCATGCAAATCCATATGGCTATTTCTGACTGATTCCTATTCATTGAATTTGGCACCTACTCACCTCACTTTTTCTCGGTTAGCTATGAATGGTGGCGTGCACTTAACCTGCGGATGAAAGTGATTTTTTCCTCGGTGAAAACCGTAGGAACCCTTCTGGGAATTTGATTGTTAAAAGCCGTTGCTTACCACCAGTGGATGGAATCATACGTCAGGAAGCCATTTATGGGATTTAATTGTACCTGGAGACTGCCATGAAGTTTTAGGAAGCCATGCAGCCTGGCCTGCTTCAGTCCTTCGAAGCAAGATCTAATAATTGTCCAACCCTTCTTCCCTTCTCAGAAGGTAAGTCACAGCCATATCAGAGTCAGTCAGTGAATTCTTCGAAAATATATTCCGTTCTTCAGTTTGTTTTATTGTCTTCATGTGCTCTGTGTGTCCTCACAGGAGGCTATTTCAGCTATAGTTGCAATAGGGTGCTAGGATGCAGCTTACCTGTGCTCCAGATTCCTAGTAGCGACCGGCCCTCAGGAAACTTTACTCCACCCTCGTCAAGATCCCCCAGTGGATCTGAGAAATCCTGCAAGGTCTTCGGATCTTGGCCAGAGTCGATCATGAAGACTCAAAGATATAGGACTCAAATTCAGGATTAACGTTGTGATATAGTCATTGCGAAGTCACTTGGGACAGTTTAATCAAAGAGATCCGCCGCGCTCGCCGGTCTCTTTGAAAATTTGAAACGGACCGGGCCCGCCGACGTTTTTATTTTTGCTGAATTTGTCTCAAGTGACTTCGTAAAGACTATATCGCAAAGTTTCCTAGTATGGACGAGCAATAATCATTGTCAGAAACTCTTGATAGCATCGGGGACTAGCGAGTTATCACCTGTGATTATGAAGTCGACTTTTGTTGATTACAAATCACTTGAGAATATTAAAAATTGACGATTATCTCGCTGCCACTAGCCATATAATATGGCTGTCAGAAAATATTCCTGTAGTAGTTACGTATCTGATGACTGCTACCGCTACTGATGAGTGCATCTATTCATATGGGCATTGTTGAAATCATAATTATAGCTAGAGAACTTTGCTATAATATAGGTGGGTGAGCATACTGATAGTACATGATCTTCATGCTGCAGTTTTTGAGTTGTTTCCCAGGATTGGTGTTATGAAGGAAGGTAACATTTTGACTAAAATCCAATTCCACTTCACATAATTCCCACCCTGTTCGGTAAAAAGTCCTCTATATTTATACAGTGAGAACCTGAAGGTTGGAACAAATTCATTGAAATCTTGAGATATGACCAGTGGGGAAAAAGTGCAGACACGTCGTTGTTCTATTTCAGTTGCGCATTTTCAGGTATACTAATATTTTGATGACGTCATATTTTTTCTTGTGTTTGATCGAAGAATAAAAGAAATTTCATGCATAACAATGTAATTTATAATAATAAACAGGAATGAATATACCAAAAACTGAACCTACAAAACTATTACGCAACTGAAGAAGACAATGGACCTGTCTGATTTTCCACAATGGCCGCATGTCAAGCTTTCAACGAATTTGTTTCTAACCTTACGTGCTCACTGTAGGTATAGTTCTTGCAGATCGTAAGCACTTTTTTGAATTTGTGTATATTTGGCAACACCTCCACAATCCATGAACTACCAGGGTGGTACATAGTTAAATAGCCAAACGTTTAGGATAACTCTTATGACATGTAGGGTGAGTCGAATGTTGAAGAGAGTTCGGATTTTTCTCCAATGATTACTAAAAATCGATTGACTGATTTCGATCAAATTTTGCATGCTTATTCGCTGCAATAATGAATTTATTTCAATCTCATCAGAGATATCAATGGGTGAAATAATTATATGCAACTGACTTTTTGTCAATACTTTTTGATATTTTTTGGTGAATGAGAATTTATCCCATGTCTTTACAGTTTTTTCGAATTTGGCTCCACTGCATGTCTTTAGACGTACTCTAGACCCCTAAAAACGATTAAAAATCGGAGCAAAGATCTATAAAATTCAATAAACATTCTTCAGTTTACCGCCTCTTGGAATACAAAAAGTTTCTGGTAATTAATAAAAAAACTGTTAGTCTACCTACCCTTTAAAATCGGTCCGTTCCACTCTGTCACCCTGTATATTTCATTCAAATAATTCGATAATCTGACTATTTGACTATTTTTGCTCACCATGAAAGTGATTGGACCACATTCTATAGAGATTAATTTGAAATATACATTGGATCAAAAAGGCGGAAGTGCTAAACCTGATATCGTAATATCTTTTAGTCAAAATGACACCTTGAATGTACTCACCTTCATATTATCATTCCACCATTCCTGGGAATAATTCTGTGTAAAACATTCAAAGATTTTTTCATATGTTGTTCAGAAATGTTTTTATTGCATATTTGATTCAGATTCTGAATGATTTATTTTTATCTCTTGGGGCGCACGGAAGGGAATCACTATAATGTTCACAGAAAATTTTGCGTACCTAGGAAGGATAGGGGGAGGTGGTAGGTATGGTTCCTAGTAAAATCATCTGGATTTCCATCAAGTAACGGCTGAGTCAATTCAAAATTAAAAAAAAAAACAAAAAAAACGAAAAAAAAAACTTCATTCAAAAGAGCAAAACTATTCTTAACTGTAGTGTCGTCCTTTATGCGCGTTTGCATTGTGTTTTTGTATATCAATAACAATCAAAATAGTGTCGTTATCATGAGATTCCAAATTTTCTTGTACGAAGAAAATCTAGACATATTGAATTGACCTGAATTAATAAACTGGTAATACGGTTTCAATTTTTTTAGAAAATTATTGTTTGATTCATAGAGCATGTCAAATGCCTTCCAAAGGTCCAGGGATATGAGAGATAACAAGCAAGAAAGTTGTACTTTCTCTGCCTAGGCAGGAAAAGTTTGTTGCTATGCAACGTTCCAAGTAATAATTGGATCAAATTGGTAATCAAAATTGACAATGACTTTGGATGAACACAAAATGATTGATCATTTGGACTTTGCGTGAAATCGGAACGAATTTGGAGCAAAAAATTATATGTATTTCACGTGGCAGAGAAAAATATTCAATGCATATTAGCTTGTTTCGTAACCTTGGCCACGCCTTGACTAGGAAACGCAAGCCACAATCTTTATCTATATTCACTTGTAGATCTGTGATAATATCATCGAATTGCAATTGGTAACGGTATCACTCGACCTTCGGAACTCATATTGACACTTGCATAAAAAACCGGTTTTGATTAAAAGTACCCTGAGTAATCCATCATTTACTTATCACTCAATTATCTTAGCTAGTACAATGGGCTTATATCACAAAAAATTTTTATTTCATAATTCGATAGAACTCACCCAAACTAGCTAACCACCGCAAACCGTTTCTTGCTGTGAGCTCCCTACGTTTTATAAAAAAATATTGAGATCCCCGATTTTTCGGACCTCTGAAAACGAGGCGATGATGTGACGTCAAAACCCTAATACTGGAACAAGACTATTCCAGACAGAGATGAATGATACATGATTTCTGATAGAGTGAATTAGCGCGAGATCACAGTTGAAAGAATTAATAAATCAGTTGCCTCAGTCTTCGTCGGGCGTTTGGTATTTTCTTTCAACTATGGTGAGATGAGGTTTCTACGTCATAAGAGGGTCCGTTTTCAGAAGGTGTCATCATTTATGTCCAAAAATAAAACATTCCAGTTAATTTTTCGATCGAATTATATCGTCAATCATTATTTATGTATAGAAGGATCATTATATAAACATGGTTTGAGTTAAAAGTTCTACTAAGGTGTACACGCCAATTCTGATCACCCTGTATTTTTTCCAATTAAATTCCAGTAGATAGTGAATCAAAAGTTAAGATTGAGACATGTAAGTCGTTTTGATCGATAATGAATAGTTTCGACACAAAAAAATCCTAAAATTTAAAAATCTTTGTAATCATTCCTGCTAGACCCCAAGTGTGATGTGTGATGAAATCGGCTCTTCAGGAAGAATCTAAAAATGCAATAAAATACAGGGTGTTCCATTTGAAATAACAAAGTTGCTAGTTGTTTCTGATAGAAGTGGCAACACTGTATCGATGAAAATATTTTAGGCGGATAGAGAATGTTCAATTATCAAAGCGTTCCAATTTTCAGAATGTTCTGTCTTTTCGTTCTCCAGAGACTTCTAATAGGCCATCCACCGTGGATCACCCTGTATATTCTTGGTAGAGGTCACTGCGAGCTACTGTTTTCGAGTTATTGGGATTCGAAATGATCGATGCATTTGAATTATTTCCATGTGGCTCTACATGGTGACCCACTGTGGAAGGCCTATTAGAAGTATCTGTATAGTGAGTATCAGAAAGATACGCCAGTGCATGTTTCTTCTTTCACTCCATATGCTCTTTCATTCAACATTGGGATGTAGGCAGAATATGATTTTTACTTCTTTGTACCTACTTTTTTGAACTCTCTCAATCGAAAAAAATAACAATCAAGTGAGTACCTACTTGTCATGTTATTTCAATCCGTTCTTGTGACAGTGAAGTTTGTTGTCTTCTGTACTTGTGGTCCATCAAGCTTTTTCAACTAACTGTTTTGGTATCAATTTGGTCTTGATTACTGCTATTATTATCAGTATCAAATTGTAATAACACCCGATTCCTATTCTTGAATAGTACCTATTAAAGAAAAATAATTTCCCCTACTTGATAAATCACTTTTGAATTCCAACTTCTTGTCATTTCAAATTACTTGCATTGAATATATTAAATCCCAATAACTCGAAAACACTTGCTCGCAGCGACCTCTAACAGGAATATTTTTATTACACAAAAGTGTTCTAGAAATCTATTTTTCTGCTATGAAACGTTATACAGGTACGCACAAAAAAGTAATGACTTTTCAAAAGACTCAAAAGACATGTAGAGGTGGCGCCACCCCCACGAAGAGACAAACTAACATAAAGTTCGATATTGTCATTGAAAAATACTCCTAGATACCAATTTCATTCTAATATCACAATTATTTTCAAAATTTATTAACAAAATACGAAAATAAGAATTCAAATTTCACACTCTGTATCTCAGAAACGGATAACTTTCGGACATGTGTTTATACGAACTTTTCTTCTTATTTAGACGTCAGCAACATGCTCCTGAATTCTCTACACGTACTTAAGAAACACCCTGTATAACACTGAACATTCTCTCTCCAAAACTTTAACTGCTCTTTCTTGTGATCTCATCATAACTTAATGCGCATTATAAAAAATTCCTTAGAAAATAGGTTCTTTGTGTTGAAGCACATTGGAAACACCTTTGGGAAGCTTCATGCAAATTCTAGAGTGCCACAGGGTTCCAATCTAGGACTCCTGCTGTTCGTCTTATTCATCAATGATCTACCGCAGAATGTCTGCTATATGCGGATGACCTCAAAATATCTAAGCGCATACAAAACTGTACGGGATTGTGTGATGCTACAAAAATATATCAATAGCATTTTAGAGTGGAGTTATAAAAATTAATTATACTTTAATGTGAAAAAATGCTATATTTTAACAATAAAAATAATGATAAATATGTAATTATAGACATCACCTCTGTTGTAATTAACCCGAATGCACTGTTCTAATCAGAGATGCGCAGGGACGACACTCGAATCTTGTATAGGTAGGTATAACTTCGAATATCAGATGGACAACGGAGTGTTAGCACGAAAAATTAAAGCTAGGGATTTAGGAGTAACATATAACAATGTTTTTTCTTTCACAAATCATATTTCTGAATAGATTAGGGATTTGAACCGTGCTTTAGTATCTTTGATTAGACGAACTCTTTGCTTTTATAATGTGGATATCATAATAGTTATTTATGTATGAGGGCCTTAATTACCGATGGCAAAGTTTGCGTCCCGAGGGCCTCTGGCCCGAGGGACAGCAATTGCCACAGGTTATTAAGGCTCTATAATTCCCGTGATACATAGATAATTTTATTTCTGACTGATTATATTCATTAGATACCTTCCCGATTGGAAGTTAGACATGTTTTTCCGTATAGTTTCAATGTCATCAGAAC